TAGACTATGGAGCATGCGTTAAATTTCCTAATGAAAATGTCTTTGTTAACCATAGCCCTTCTTATATCTTTTATTGGATCATATTCAAATTATAAATCATGCTCATAAATACTATGCCTATTTTTGTATCCCTTTGGGTATATCTTGATGTTGAGAGACGTGTGCCTCGGCTCGTTTTCTGTGCCAAACTTTTCCTTCGGTTCTCCCTTCTATCTCTTCCCTTTCTACTAGTTATCCTTCACTCCTTTCTTATATTTCCTTATCTGCCTTTTGTTCCTCTAGCTCTTCCCTTCTTACTCTTTCTTTTGTTCCACATGTTCCTCTTCTTTTATTCTTTTTCCTTCAGTGCCCTCCTCGTTTTCCATTTTCTTCTCGGGGACTGTTCCAGGGTGCTGGGTGAAATTTATGTAATTTATATGGGCACTTGACGTCTAAATTGCCTGCAGAAGTCAGAGCTCCACCCCCTCTAACTACCTGCTATCCCTCACCACCCCACTCAGCCTTCGCATACCCCTGTCGACCCAGGCCCCCCTCCCCCTCCCCCTCTCTCTCTCTCTCTCTTGCTTGGAGCACGCTTTGCTGCCACTTTTTATATCATCTACTTAGCCTTAATGGCAAATAATTAATTTCCAGCTTCCGCTTTAGCCGCTGGTTCTAGACTTGCTCTACGCGAAAAACCCACCAACCCCTCCACTCCTCCCACGTAGTAAATGGCCGACTGCAACGCCCCCATCCGCATCCCCTGCCACAACACTCCCCTTTCCTGGCCCTGGAACGACCATTTTCAATTTACAAATTGCTTATTTTTCGAAAACCAAATTGCGAGTGCCTTGGACTTGGACCAGAACCAGAACCCGGGCCAGGCAGGAGAGAAGCCTGTAACTGTAACTGGATCCGGTACGGGACCTGGACGCAGAGGCAGGGACGAACAAGAAGAAGCAGTTAATGCATTTTACGTGCGGCCAGTTCACAGCAGAAAAGGGGGAGGGAGGTGGAGAAAGTGGCAGCGGCAGCGGCAGTTATGTGCTGCGGCGAAGGCTTCTCAATTACGTTTATAAATTTTCCAAGCCCCCAAAAATGGCGCAGCCTCCGAAAATGAATAGCCCGAAAGGGACAGCAAGAGAAAGAGAGAGAGAGAGAGAGAGAGAGAGAGGTTGATGGCCATACTCTCCCCATTCGCGGGAACCCAACCAAAAGTCCATCCAATGCCCATCTTCTACCCCACCAAAAGTGAAATTTTATTAACTTCTTTTAGGCCAAATTGCATTGCGGTTTATTTGAAGGCCAGGCCCAGTCCCCAGTCCACCACCCAATAAATTCACCCCACTTCAGTTCCCCCCCCTCCCCTGCAACAGTTCCTCTTCGCTTCCACAGCCATTGAACGATTCCCTTTTATTTATGATGCGACATTTCAACTGAAACTCGTAGGCATGAAAAGAGGCCCCAGAATTTATTGGCGCCATCAAAAATTGTTTTATATACACTGAAAGAAATTGATTAAAATCTTCAACACTTCATTGAACCTTTAATAAGTCGATAATTCAGGGTTTATATCCTTCGATATTTCTATACGATATGGCTCCTAGTTTAAGCTTCCGACCCTAAAAATTGTATCAGTGTAGAGGCAGGTGCCACGCCCACTGGCTGTGTGTGGCACTGGCTAACCAAATGGCTAAACATGGCCAAGACTAAGACGCGTTTTTATGGCGTACGCATCATTTGGCTGAAAGCTCGAGGACTCCATTTCGGCCGCCTCGCCTGCAATTGGCCATAATCGAGGGGTAATGGGCGGTAGGGATAAATGGTAATCGCTCTATGAAATGCCTAAATAAAATAAATGGCTAAACAGAATTAGAGTGAAAGGAGCCAAAGGACCAATGGCTGGATTGTACGACTCGGTCGAAAGGAAAATGAGAATGGGGCGCATTCAAAGTTATTTATTTTTCGGGGCAGAAAAAGTCAGTGGGGAATTTTTTATTTATGATACGCTTACTTTTACTTAAGTACTTTGCGCTATAACTGGTGAATATTTGATTTATGATGGGTGTTATTTGAATTTCGTTTCATTGAATGAAAAGCATTGACATGGGACTTCATTTTCTTAAGTCTTTTTTTGTACCAAAAATTATATGAGAATTCTTTATTCTTTATTTATTTATTAAATAGCACTATAATTTTAACATAGTGGATGCCACAAATTTTCTAAAACTATTCAAATCTCTTACATTCAAGGTTTCAAAAACAAAGAACGGCTCAAAAATTTCACGGATATAATATACGGATATAGACACTTTCATGGTTAGGTGAGTTCTTGACATAAAGTAAAGTTTCTGCCCATTCTTGATTGATATCATTATAATATTCAAATATAAACGATTCGCCTCGATTCTTATCTCCCTGTAACACTAAATTTCTCCATCAAAAGCTCCATCCCGAAGCGCAATTCCCATTCTTCCAACAGAAGATCTTTGGATCGCCTTCACCCTCCTCTCCCTCCCACCCACAAACACCATTAACTAGCCATAATTCCGTTAAATTACTCGATTTTTCTCTCGCTCTTTCTCTCCTTCTGCCCACACACACACACATCGCTGCTTCTCTCTGGCTCTTTCGCTCTCACCGAAAAGCCAACAAAATCAATTAAAAGCGCAATTAATTTGTTTGACAGCTGAAGAAAAGAGACGCCAAGCTTTTTGGCTAGATAAAGGGAGAGGTGAAAGGAGATGGCAACAACAGGGGGGAGGGAGAGGAGAGGAGTGTGAATGGGTCGTGTGGAGAGAGGCCAGGGAAAGCTCTCTTTATCTCCTTCTCTGTTGTTGTTTGCATGATTCTGTCGGAATAATAAAAGTAATTTAATTTTAATGAAATTGTTAATACGAAAACGATTTCATTTTGTAAAAAGTTTTTGCGCAGTCGGTCCTGGCCGAGGGCACTGGGCGATAGAGAGTGATAGAGAGAGAGGGAGCGGGAGCGGCAGCTCAAATTGCTCGTGACAATACGCACAGACACACACACGCAAGCACACAGCCACACGCATGGTAGGAAAACTGAGAAACAATAAACAAAAGCGTGTGGGAAAAAGAGATAGAGAAAGCCAAAACCAACAAACAACAACAAAATGAGAGGCAAGGAAAGGTCGCCTTTCTACGCCGAAGCTTTTGATACCCTTGCAGGTCTAGCGTTCCCTTGGGAGCTGTTTTATGAACAAATATTGCAATATCATTTTAAATGTTTCTGTGAAATTCTAATTTGAATCTCTAACCATGTATTGAATAATCTTCCGGTTTAGTAGGGTGTTTCAGGCAGATGAAGCAACAAATCTTGATCAAATATCTATATATTTATATATCATACAGCGACCGAGTGTTCTACGTTCCCCAAAATCCGATCAAAATCGTAATACCCTCTACTAAGAGGTATACCCGTAACAACAGCAAAAATACACAAGTCAAATATGCCGTCGGAAGAGCAAAAGGTACAAAAAGTAGAGGGAGAGGGAGAGGGAAAACACCCAACAAGAACCGTAAACGAACGGCAGGAGGTGGCAAGCATAGACAGAGAAAGGGAGATGGAAAAAGAGCCAGAGAAAATACGAAAAATGAAATGCTGATGCGAAGATTTAATAAATGAAATTGGTGTGTGATTAAAAACACAAAAACCAAACGAAATCCATCTAATCAACTTTTCCTGCCGCCTTGCTCAAACTCTTGCCTGTCACTCCCTCGCAGTGGACGTCGACTGCAGCAGAGCAGAGCAGAGCAGCGACGCAGCAGAAGAGTGGGTGGGTGGGTGGTGTTTGGGCGCCTATTTCTTGGAACGCCTTCTTGAGGGAAATGTAAATGTTGTTGAGAGAGGGCCTTTTGTGATCTCTTTTCCTTGGGGAAGTTGATCGGGCAAAATATATAAAAATTTGATCAGAATTTTAAAATAATAATATATCATTTTAATGAATAATTTTATATTATTAAACATATATTAACTGCAGAAAAATCGCTGCTAAGATTTCCCTTTGTTTGGTACTTTATCTCTCTGACTCCGCCCCGATTTTTTGTGCTAAGATTTCCCATTTGGTACTTTTGCTCAGTAGCTCCGCCCCTACTTGTGTCCGTAAAATGGCTGTTTTCTGTAACTACAGCGTCATAATCGCCAAACAGCAATAAATGGAACCCAAAATCGCAGAATCCGCAACGTGAATACGGGGAATTTATCTGGCGCCATCTGCATGTCCGCATAGATTTTATTTGAACAGAAGAGGGCCAATCCGTGTTAAACAAAAGATGGCGCTTTCGCTCTTAGCGCCACTGTGTAAACTTATATCGATCAAAATCCAGATCTATCGGTCTGCAAATCTATCGAGATTTAATCCCTCGATTAACGATCAAACCAAAATGTTCAGCAAAATGGACTCAAGTTTAATAAAGTTTTGAAAACTTCAGCTAACTAAATGCATTTAGAAAAAAGTTTTCCACTTAAGATTAAAGTGGAAAATAAATCCATTAATAGGGGGGATTTCATAGTCTTAAGATTAATATTAATTGGGGAATTATGTGGTAGCACCGATCGCGACCTGATTTTGACCGACTTTCAAGGTAATCCGCGGAGATACAGCAATAACCGAGCATCCAAAAACCACCGCCATGATTGATAGAATCGATTTGTTCCACCTGATTTGCAAGAAGAATCAAAACTCCACGTTCCACTGCCCACGTCCTGCTCACGTCCAAGTGCTGAGCGTCGCAGCCGCTGTCGGCGCCGGCTTAGTTAGAGGCAAGGTGTATTTAAACAAGGTGAGGCATGCCAAAATATCATAGGAGGATTTAATGTAAAAGCCTTACCCTACCTTAGTTTACCTTTGCTACCTGCTGTTGTTGCTCTCCCTCTCTCACTTTATCTGCTCCACTCTCTGTTTTTCTGTTGTTGTGGGGGTCTTGTAGTGCTCCAACGGCTCCAACGACTCTGTCCACTGCGCCGCGTTCTCATTGTGTTTTTTTCTTTCGCCGCGTTCGTTCGCTTCTGTCCCGCGAAAAACGTTGTGCGCGTGTGTGTGCGTGCTCTCTTCTAGTTGCTCCGCGTTGTTTTGTTCTACGGGCCAGCTAGGCTAGTCGTTCGATCTATCTAGGCTCCAACTCTCGCAGAGCGTGCGAGGGCATGTGTGCTCAATTCTTAGTGCTATTCCATATGTGCAACTATTTACCGTAAAATGTAAAGTCTAACGAAAAAACTTTAAAAATGTTAATTTAAACAAAGCAAAAACCCTAATGACGGAACAAAGTTCATAGAAAACGCAGGAAAATCATGTGAATGCAGTTTTTTTTACAGTGACGGGGGCAGTAAATGGGAGAGCATCGGAGACGGAGATAGAGAGAGAGAGAGCGAGCAGCGCACGCTCTCATCCGTTTGACATTTTAGTCAACGTTTTAGTGGAAATTTAATAACTTAAAGAGCTTTGGCTTGCATTGAATTAAACATTCGTTCCCCCCTCTCTGTAAGCTGCAGCATGACGCATTTTGTAGAAGTAGAAGATTTTCCACTTGACAATAGAAAACTCCAGTGATCCTCTTCGTCGTGGCGTTTAGCCCCAACTCGTGCGATCTCTGTCTCACTTTTTCGCCCTTCGGAACAACTGCATTTTTGCGTCGCATTTCCTTCTTTTGCTGTTGTTTCTCCTGCTGCCTGGCATTCCTTTCTCCTCTCCTCCCTTCTGGTTGCTTTTGTGGCTGTTGTTTGGCACACAATTTTTTTCCAATTTGTGCGCGTTGGTTGCCGCCTTCGCTGCTGTTTCTTTCTGTCTCGCCGCCGCGGATCTATTTTTAGCAACAGTACTGTTGTTGCTGTAGCATTGTTGTTGTTGGTTAACTACGCTACGCTGGCAGCAGCAGCAGCAGAGCAGCAAACTATGCAGAGCGCGAGAGAAAACAATCGAGTAAAAGAGCGCAAGAGTGAACAGCACAGTTGGGCCTCGAGCGGAGGAAACAAACCCTTGGAAGAATTTCCTATAAATTTGAGAGTGAACAGAAGGAAAGTCGGAGTGTTATCTAATACAATTATTGATTGTTGGAAAATCAAATTGTATAAATTAAATATTTTGAGTCTTATGGGGAGTTTTCACTGTAAGAACCAGAGAGTCCTCAAGAGAGCAATTAATACCTACAGTAAATGTCACGCGATGTGAAACAATGTGCTAAAAATAAGTCGAGTCTCCACTGTACTTTCGACTCGAACGATAACAAAAACAGGCAGAGTGAGAACGTGAAAAGTGACTCTCAGAGCGCGAGAGTGGGTCACACAGTTAGACCTCGAATGAAGGATTTGACATGTAAAGTTTTTTAGGGGAATTTTCTGTATAGTGAAACGTGATGTGACGAATATCTAAAATCATATTCTAAGAAAAATTCAAACTTAATAAAGTTTGTGTCCAAAAGAGTACCATAATACGTGACTCCACTGTACCTTTGACTCAGGTGATAACAATAACACAACGAGTGCGAGTGAGAGGATCCACTAATACACTTGTTTGATCGCTCTCTCTCTCAATGTCTTGTCTTTTGCTCTCTCTCTCTGTCGCTCTCTCATCTGTCATTCGCGCTCTCTGTCTAATAACATTTACATTTTAATGCCCAATTTCATAGAAAATCAAGTGGAAAAGACACGCGAGAAAAGTGAAACAAGAAAACAAAAGTGCAGCAATTGCTGACGCTCTCTGGCATGCACTCGCTTTAATTTTGTGCTTCCTGTGGAATTAACGGAGAGCAAAGGCAAAGCGTAATACAGAAACGAGAGCGACATCAACAAGTGGAGGCAGGCCAGACCAGACGCAACTTTCTTCAGCCAAAAGCCGGCTGAGCGGGAGCCAGCCATCCATCAAAAGCGGGCGTAGAAGAAGAAAAACGTGCAAAGAGGAAGCTGAGATCAGGAGAGGAGATCATACTGCGCGCTCTTCTTGTTTTGACTCTGGAATTTCTTCAAAATGTAAGCTTCCTATACTACATATATTTATACCTAGTATTTGTAAGGTATATCCAAGAATGGAAATCGGAGTGTGGTATGTGGTGCCACGTCATCGCACAAAAAGTTAATAATGATAAAAACCCCAAAAAAACGACCATCTTCAAAGATTATTGTTGATATTCTGCAAAGTTATACCCGTATTTTGTAATGGGTATGCAGTAGTCGCTACAATGCAATATTTTCCTTAATACTCGCTTTAATATGCAATTATTGTCCGTTGTCTGGTATTTGCTCATTGGCGGCGTTATTTATTTATGGATTTATGCCGCCTACAAATTTCCGATTGCACAATCGACAACAGATCGGGGCGGCCTTTGCATATGAACTACATATGTATTGTTTGCCCCCGACTTATTCGAGCGCCCTTAAGTCGTCGCCGTATTTCACTTCTCCCTTCTGCTAGTATACGCTATCTCGCTTACTCATGCAAAGCTTGCCCTTGTGCTTGCATTGAATAATCAATGGAGTAAAGGAGACTCAGGGTCCAAAGCCCTTGTTTTCTTTTTTGTCGTATGAATATCATACCCTATGAGTAGTTGCGTGGGTGGGAGTATAATGGGTTGAGTCACTGAGTCTGACATTGGGTTTGTGGATCCTTATAGTTTGGAATCCGAATCATTCAGACCAGAAATTCCAAGAGTAGAGAATTCCAGCCAATACAAAAATTATAGATTCTGTTCTGCGAGTCTTCTGTTCGAATGTTATCAATAATCATCTATATATACATAGCTTCCTACCTCATTAGAAATCAATCGATTTTCAAGGGTATCTATGGTTTCAGATCCAGAATCTATTCTTTCTTGTTGGATGAGATGATATGATTCATGGCAGACTCCATACTCCATAACAGAACTGATCCAATACACCGCAAGAATATCCAGGGAAATCTGCTCTTGAGCCACGTAATGCGCTGCGGTTTTATAGCTCTTTCGTTACATGGCATATTCGAAGCGATCCGTAGACGAACAAAGCACGTTGTTGATTTGTTTTTCGCTTTGTTTGCTTCGACTTTATTTATAGAATTTTTGTCATAAAGTTTAGCAAACAAATGAACAAACAATCAGTGAAAAATCGCTGACTATTTCGATTTGTTTTCGTTGAATTTTCGGAGTGGGGTTGGGGTGTGGTGTGTCTTACAACTGCGCAGATTTCAAGTGTAAAATTATTTATGGGGGCTTCTATTCGTACTATTTGCTAGTAAACAAAAAAAACCTTATCTAAGAAAATGTTGGGAGTTGCACAACAGCTGTCACCGAAATGAAAAGAAATTACAGACTTTATTTGAGTAAATAAATTGCCTTTGGCTTGGAAATTCTATATGTTTTCCCATACAATCGTAGGTACTCGTGTATTTTCAAAGTTAAGTCGCAATTGGAAAATTCGTTACCGGCGTTCAGAATTCCATAATATTGGCTTTGGCTCTACAACACAATAATATATGATAGGAGGGGCATTTCATGGGATACAAGGAAGTGTTTTTCAGTGGAATGACAAAGAATCAAGTTCTTTGTGCGAAAAAAACCAAGCAAAAATCAAGGTTTTCTTGAAGAGCGATAGTTATAGAATCTATAGATCTTAGTGCAGGTAAAATATATCGTTCGATATATTAGCTTTTTAGCCAAGGCTAGGTTTAGATCTGATATATGTATGCATATTTTATAGCCACCAATTTTAATCAAATTTGGATGATTTATCATGTTGAATATCAAATAAAATAAACTGTTTTCTGTGATATAAGAACGATCTTTCCTACGGGAAATGTCTGAGCAATCTAATCTAATCTAATCTATGTCTGAATATCTAAGAAAGATATCTCCCAAATGGAAGAGTTTATTAAGGAATTTAAGTTTTCACTTTGGACAAAATTAGAAAGAAACTATAGTTGTGGATTCAATATATCCTGCATTAGGAATCACCAAAGAAATCATTCGATCATTCTCCATATCATGAATTTTATATTGTTTGTATTTATTTAAATTTGTCGTAAACAACGTTTCGAATTCGAATCCGTTTCTGTTTATCGCTCATATCATTTGGCACTGCACTGGCGTTCCCCCTGTCAATTCCATTCCGAATAATAAATAAACAGACTGTCAGATCTTCAGTTTTCGCAGATCTTAGATTTCCCCCCAACCATTCCCTCTGATTCTCGCTCCCCTTTCCAGAAAATATATTTTTTACCGCTAAGCAGTTTGTTTTGGAATCTCTTTTTTCGTTTTGTTTTTTCTTTTGCGCGTTCTTTATTGTGGCCCCCAAGACGTGCCCCTTTTTCGGGTCGAGTTTCGAGAAAAAAATGCTTAAGTCGCATATCAAATTTTTGTCCAATATGCAATATTAACAAAAGAAAAACCAACAGCAGAAAACGCCAATCAATTTTGAAAAAGGAAACATCTAAAATCAAACACCGGGTTTTTTTAATTTATAAAAGTTCATGTATTAAATTGGTTTCAAAAGAGCGTAAATCTTAAGAGAGCTTTCTTACGTTTGCTTACGTTGTATGACATAAATATTTGCTCTCTTTGGTTTCGGCTCTCTTTCCTTATTTCTCTCTGCCGTCTCTTTGATCTGTGAAACAGCTGGAAAGAGTTTCATTAAAGAGAACCCACCCAGTGAGAGAATAAGTACGATCGCTAATGTACGTAATGTAAACAATGTACATATATGATACGTCTGAAAGCAATGTTATTTGAATTTACGCGCTTTATGTGTGTCAGCCCTGGTGATCAGCTGGCGATCATCAAAATCCAGCCCTGGTATTCTCTTAATTTTTCTATTCTATTTCAATTTCTCTCATTTTATTTTCTCAATTCTTTTACCTTGCAACCAATGAAAATATTGCTAAAAAATTGTTGCAAATTTTTACAGCTTTTCAACAGATATTGCAGCCTTGATGTTGCCAAAACATGTTGCTAAGCATGTTGAAAAACTAACAGTGCTGCCAGACTGATTTCAAATACCCAGCTGATTTATTGGCGGAACATTCAAATTTTAAATATTTTATACTAATAATTCGAATTTCTCCTGGAGAGGGAGTACTGAAAGAGAATTTTATATGGAATATGGGATATAGCATTCGTAGAGAGAAATGTGTAAGAAGATTCGATTATATCCTCTTTGTTCATCAGATTTCATCATAGAAAATGTGTCTCTTTTATCATAAAGTACCTAAAAAAGGGGTTCATGTATAGAGTATTGGAAGAATATCATGAATCTATATATATTGCATCTACTAGAATATATGTACATATATTTATTCCACGATTTCCTAGATATAATAGTCATAAGAAATTTTAGAGTTCTCTTTAATTAATTTTATTGATTTCTTTGTAGTTTTACTTTGCTTTAGTTATCTTTTCCGCATTCATAGATTTTCCACTGCCCCACCCACACACCACACACGAAGTGCGTGTGTGTTTTCTGTCACTCAATTGTGTGGCAGTGGCTGTGGCGGTGACTCTGTTGCCGCCCAAATAACCTTTCGATTGCGTCAATTAAATATTAAATATATTGTATAATTATTACCCATACGGGGAACGCTCCACTCCACTCACAAATCGAGACACGACGCCTTATCAAATTCCGCCAATGTCGCCGTCGCCGAATGCAAACAGAAAATACAACAGAGAAAACAACCTGCTATCGATGGATCCCCAGGGGCGTAGGGAGCCGCACAATACGCAAAAGGGGGATGAAAATTATGCGGGGGACTCAGCCCCCCGCAGCGAAGCCCCTGTCTGTCTGTGGCTGTGGCTCCAATCAGTGCACGCAACGAACCATTTAGACACAGATGCAAATGTATCTGTATCTTTTGTGAGAGTTTCCATTGGATTTTCCACAACGATTTGCATGCGAAATAATTTAATAATGTTTTGATATTCACATGAAATCACGTCCCACGTGAAATTACTTTTTGCATGTCTGCCTCTCTCTTTCTCTTCCCCTCTGTAGAGCTCTCCCCCCTTTTCTCTGCCTCTTTTGTTGATTATATTTCCAGTTGCAGTCGTAATATTGTTTATTATAAATAAATCAGTTGCCCCTAAACGCTTTTCGCATGAATGCAGGAGCCATGAAGCAGCAATCGATGGCAGGGAACAGGCTTTTCTGATTGTGACACACAAAAGGAAAGAGCGATTGGAGAATAGAAAAAGAGAATAACGGGGGGAGAGAATAGGATTGCGATCCCCGCAATAAATCATCCATTGAGTGTGCGACACCAGAAGGAATGAATGTTGCTGCTGGTCCTACAGGTTTTCTTGTGGAAATTTTATGTCAATTTCCCACATGCTGTCAACACTGCGTATGCGTGATATGTTTTTTGAAAGCCATGAATGCCGTGAAATATGATAATAAAGGTCATGGGTCTTAAATAGAGATATTAAATGCAATTAAGGTAAATATTTTTGCGATAAAAAAAAGAAAAATAGTGGAGATTAACAAGCGGCTTATGGGTAAATGGAGATTTCCTAATATTTAACATTTGTTGGTGTTAATATTTATTTTATTTTGATCCGAAAGTGTCTATTTGATATTAGATTTAAAGCTCTTTTTTAACGTCTTATAGCTAAGAAAACTTAAATCTTAAACATATAAAAGCCTTGTAAACCATAAACCGTAAACCAGATTTTAAATTGAGCTTTTAAAACTATCTTTTTTTATAATTACACCTTGAAAAATTTTAATTAAAATTCTTTAAGCTAAATTAAATTGATATTCCTCTTGGATTGTTTTGGAAAATGTCATTCCAAGGGTATTCCCATTTTATCTAAATGGAAAACCCTGCGAAGTCGTTGCAGCAATTAAGATGTCAACTGGCATATCCTTTAAATCACCAACGAAGTTAAATGGTGGCCCCTGGGTGCTGCGTGGATCTCATAAATATGCAAGTAGGGTATCGATAGGATACCCCATGCCGATCCATGCGTGTGCCACCGTTGCATGGCAGTTGCTGCTGCTGCTGCTGC